CCTCTCACTTCCACAAAACCGATATACTCGCTATACATCGCTTGCCTGCCAAACGTGAAAAGGCCCCGCCGATTCTAATTCGATTTGCTTCGGTCAGTATGAAGGAATCGTGGATGGAAGCGCGGGGAAAGCTTCCCTCGCTCAGTCAGGTTGGTCCTTTCCCCAAATTGTACTTAAACGACAACCTGACTCGTGCGAACAAGGAGCTGTTTTGGCAGGCTAGACAGAGAGGCAAGGAGCGAGGCTACAAATTGGTGTGGGTGACAAGGGCTAAGATATACGCCAGAAAGATGGAGGGTTCTCTCCCTGTGAGGATCAACCATAAGTTAGACCTTGAACAGATTATCTAGTTGCATGACAAACTTCGCTCAGGTTTCAGATTTTCGTCTTTCAGAAAGTTTCTTGGAGTTTGTCATGACCACTCTTTTTTTGTTTTACACGTTAATATAAGGAGCATACGAAAGCATTGGAATGAATTCGAGATAATTTAAAGGGATACTAGTTCGCTGGTAGATTTCTTTGTTTTAACAGAAATAAGCATTTCCTCTGTTGCTACAGATCAATTTTCTTTACCAGGATATATAGGTAAATTCTACACGCGGTGTTCCGGTCATGAAGGTGGCATCGCGGTTTTCGTGAATGAGAAGTGGTCCATTACTAATATTTCTTTGTACTTCACTCACGCAGAATGTGTCGCCCTTTTTCTAGGAAACGCGGCAACCTCGGTATGTTTTTTGGCAGTCTACAGACCGCCTTCCACGAACGTTGGATCTTTTCTGGAAGAACTTGAATCTTACATAAGTAGTCTCACCATGCATGACCAGTTATGCCTTGTAGGAGATTTTAATATTCCCATTTTAAGCACGACCAAATCTACGGTGTGTAAATACTTAACCTTCTTGTCAACGCATGGAATAGAGTGCACTATTAATGCTCCAACTCGTGAAGAGTTTCTATTAGACAGACTAGTTTGCTCCTGCGTTGACCATATCAACATCGGAACATCTGCGTCGATCGTTAAATCGGCCATTATTACGGAAAAACTTGCTGAGCACGACTTTGCGGCCTGTCATTGTTCTTTTGGTAACTTGGCATCGCGCAAACTACCGGGCCGTATTAAAGTAACAAGCATAGACAATCGTGCCTTTGATAAGCTAGTCTCGTGATATGACTGGATCGGATTTTTAGAGTCCGTCCACCACAGTGACGTATATAAAAACTTCGTTCTTTTGTTTGATAAATTCTATAATACCTGTCGGAAAGAGGTGTACATAAAAAAAAACGTAACCCTGACCTCTTATGGCTAAATACAAATATTTTGACAGCAATTAGCGATAAAAATGCTTTATGGGCTAGATGCTGTCGTTCACCTAACAACGTGCAATTGAAGTCAGACTTTAAATTCTTTCACAACAAAGTCAACGCAATGATTAGATCTGCCAAACGAAACTACTACCAGAAAAAAATTCGCGGAATTTCGTTCAGATGCACGAAAAACTTGGTCCCTGATTAATGAGTTCCGTGGAACTAGCGCGCGCCACTCTATCGACGATACGATGAGGCAAAATTTTGGCGGTAATTTATGTCATGTTGTAGAAAATTTAAACGCTTTCTTTGCTACTTTTTCTGGAAAGGCCAGAGATCCCCCAACTCCTATTGGTAACACTGTCAGCTCCTCTGCGTTGCTTTTCCCACTCCAAGAGACGGATCGGCACTCGATCTTGTTTAGCTTTAAGCGAAGCAAGTCGCCTGGAATTGACAACATTCGCCTCTACGATTTTCGCAGAAACTATGTCAGTCTCAAAGCGGTCCTTCTTTTTATGTTAAACGGCTTTATTGAGGCTAAATTGATTCCCGACGACCTTAAAACATCAATAGTGCGTCCTCTATACAAAGGGGGTGCCAAAAATAACATCGAGAATTATCGACCGATTTCTATTCTACCGATAATCGTGCAGACACTCGAAAATCATGTGTTTCAGGTAATGACGTTTTTTTAGGTAAATTTAATATATTGTCACCTACTCAGTTTGGATTCGTGCATGGGAAGGGCACACAGCCCCTTCTGGAAGATTTTTCTGATTATCTTTACTCTGGTTTTGATAACAATGTTGTCACGTCAACACTATTCTTTGACGTATCTAAAGCGTTCGGCACCGTTAGTCACTCGTTACTTTTACGTAAACTTCACAACATAAGCTTCCGTGGCACTTTTTTTTTCTGAGAGCTATCTTGACCATCGCTCCCAGCTGGTATCTGCTGGAGGTTTTCAAAGCTCACGAACAAAACTAAAAGCAGGTGTACCACAAAGTTCAATTTTGTCGCCCTTTTTGTTTACCATCTTTGTCAATGACATCGCCAGCTATGTACCAGGATGCACGATCTATCAGTCTGCAGATGACATGTAATCATGTCCCAACATATTAATTACGTAGACTCGATTCGCCAGTTACAGCACCATGCGACTGCGGTCATGGACTGGTTTGAGAAAAACCTAATCGCTATCAATGTAAAGAAAACAAAACTAATGTGTTTCTACAATCCACATAAAACAATCAATCTCAGCATTCCTTTTATTTTACACTCATCATCTTGTAATCAGTGCGCCTGTGTCCCCTTAGAGTACGCTAGCAGTGTTAAGTACCTTGGTATTTTTTTCGATAGTGGCCTAAAATGGCATGCCCATTTAGCATATATTTGCAAAAAAAGTAAGGAGCGCCAGCTGCATCTTATATAGATCCAAATGTCTCATGCCTCTTTATGTTCGTAAGGTTATTGCTCATAATCTAGGGTACAGTATCCTTCGGTACGGCATAACAGTTTTTGGTAATTGTTCCACTTTCTGGAGAGCTAAAATTGACAGCATCCTTAATGCAATCCTAAAGAGTGTCTCCTATAACATGCAAATACCATAGGACACCACTCTTTTCGACATTCTTCCACTCCCTGACTTTCACACCCTCTATGTTCACACAGTTATTTTGCGACATTTCTGGAGCTCTGAATTCAGAACTTTAAGCTCATCATCTCGTGCCCTGCGACACGTGCAGCCTTTCCAAATACCTCTTGTGCATACCCGATACGGTGAAAGTACGCGAGCATATTACGTTCCAAAGCTTTTCTCACAGCTGCCGCTTGAGCTTCTAGGCCTTACCTCGCTCCGTATACTTAAGAAATCACTTAGAAGTATGAGTTTTTGATGATCTCTGTTTTACTTTGTTTAGTGTTTTCCAGTGTGGGTTTCACTTCTTTAGCCTGGACGTCCTGAACAATCGCTCGTTCGACGCCGTGTAGTGCAATTTCGTTTCTCGCCTGACTATTTTTTATTTTTCTTTTACACATCAGGCGCGACGCTTTGGTCTTCGTGATTATCGTTATTTTCTATATTAAATTCTTTTAAACCTTATCTACGTACTTGAATCAGTATTTGGAGGCGTGATTCTGTGTGTTGCATGCACCCAACTGCTGACTTTGACTTTGGGACATTCCAAGGACGTGTGTATGTCAATCTGTCTTATTTCCTTTTGTATACCGGGTAGCAATGTTTAAAGTGTCAATTTCAGGGTAGCATCCCACAAGCCTTGTTTTGGCTTTGATGCGCCCGTCACGCAAACAGTGTCGTGCTCCATACAATAAATGTATTATCATTATTATTAATATATAAAGTTGCTCTGCCAGAGTATTGCTACACTGGTTGTCGCAGTAAAAGAGAAATATAGCCATGGCGGTACGCTGCACAGTTAACCAAACTCCCCGAGCTGTGTAGGGTGACCACCTTCCTGCTTGTGAAATGCGGGACACGCTGAACTGAGGGGGGGGGGGGGGGGGCGTAGTGTTTATCACAACTGCGGCATCTAAGAAGGTTACATGAGAGGAAATGTGTTACCACGCACACCATGAAATGTGGTTGAATGCATATTATACACCTGCACAGGCTATTGCGGCAATTAAGCTCAAATAATTTTCACACTCAGTGATGTATATTTTTATTTTAATGCCAAGTAAGTTATTAAATGTGTCTAAGTTGAAAATACCCGAAATTACTCCAATAGAAATTAATGCATCAAAAGTAAAGAGTAAACAGTAAACCTTTTTTCGGCTTATTGTTTCCTGTCGATATACGTTTACCAACATACCCTTACCCAAATTTAGAGCCCCATATTTCAATTTCAACTTGTATTTTGTCTAGTTGGCTCATTCTGAATTAAAAGGTTAAAGGCGCGAACAAAACGAAGACAATAAAGACACAAAGGCAACAAGACAAGCGCCAACTCTTCACTAAACATATTTCACATCAATCCTTTCGCATAGGCAGAGATTGATTTGAAAATAATTAGAATAATTTATATTTCCTATTTCAAATAGCAAATCTCTCTTGTAGTATGTACATTTCAACCAGGGGAAAGGGCACAACGGCATATTCGCGTCGTTCTCCTGCAAGAACGACGGTCGCTTCCAGCGATGTTAGGATTGCGTACCATCGTAACTCACAGGATACCCAGCGGCCTCCACGATTCTCCGCACCCCGTTGTTGTGCAGTGCTATGAGATAAATTGTGAATTTTACGACAGCGTGAAGTGCGGTACATTTGGAAAATTTTTGGTGTATCTCGCGGGACGCGGGACACAAGCCGTCAATGCGGGACAGTACCGCGAGCCACGGGACGGTTGGTCACCCTAGAGCTGCGGCAAAACATCAATTCCCAGCAGGATGTTCATTCGGACCGAAAGTGTTGGGGTAGGAGTTGAGCCCATGATCCCACCGCGACGCAGCTGGCTCGATAACGTTTAAAACACAAAAAAGTAACAATAAAATCAGCAAAATGTAAGCACGGCGTGCTAATAGACGCACGCCGAGCGTCTATTACCACGCCGCACCAAACAAGACTTAATTGGCATAATCACTCGCTGGCTCTGCTATAACAATGCACTGGAGTGTCTCAAAGATCAAATTGTTCCGTTCGAGAGACTACAGTACCTTGCCCTCATATTGCTTTAACAATGCCCCTTGTTCTTTACAGATTTCTCTGTCTTGTTAGTTTCAGTTATGCCAGCGCAACGTTCCATTTCCCAGAGCTCAAGCCGGAGCTTGAAAAGTACCAGGACGGATCTGAGGTATGCGAAATTTTTGTGTGTAAGAAGCCAGCTACTTTTACATCTATCAAAATTAAGATGCACGTAACTTTCGCAAGGTGACTTTAATGTTAAACATTACTCTTACATTCGTTGTGCTCTGTTTTATACTCTCAAAGAGTGAATATAGGTGATTTTTTTATGAAACACTTCAACCATATCACGGGATGTCTATGTATCTTGAGAAAACAAAATGTGTGCTACATACAATAATTCCTAAAAAAGAAGTGCTTCTTCAACAAAACTATCACTTTTATTGTAAACAAAATAAATGAAGTTCCACGTGTGGATACTTAATAAACTCAATGCGAGTTTTTTTCACGAATCTAGGGTTTGTGTGCAAAATTTACCTTACTCAAACCGCTCATATATACTCGAGCAAAGTGGCTGCCTAAAACACGGATTTTCCTCCCCACCGGGGGTGATCTGTAGACGATCACGCAACATTAGAGACACGCTAGTAATTTCTCGGTTAAACTCTACACCGCGACACAAAGAATGCAGACCCTGTAATACACCACAGTTTTTAATCTGCCAACAAATTCGACAGATGGTCACATCCAGAAGCACGCATTTACAGTACTGAATCAAAATTAGAGAGGAACTGACATGCAACCCTCTAAGCCTAGTGTAGAGAATTCAAAATTCAATACGCTGGACAGGCTGAGGCAGGGTTTAGACTACGCTTCAGCAACCACAGAGCTCGCTCTAAATCTAATCAAAGCCTTCCTCTTTGAAAATACCTCCGTCTCCCAGAGCGCCAGAGCATTCTTTCGATGAATTATTTGTGACACTAATGGAAATTGGATCTACACAAAACCGGGAGCGCAAAAAGCGAGAGTCATACCTCATATAGAGATTCAATAGAGTAGAAAAAGGAATAAAAACGATTTCAGGAACACTTGCATCAATAAGAGCATTAACCTATTCTATATTTTCATAGTGGTACTGTATTTTCATCTGAATCGGACCACGTAATTACTTTTTACGACTCCTTTTGTGGATGCTCTCTTTTTTGGTACCGTGCACTGTTCCCGTGCTGTTCTTTTGCGCGCCTTTTTCATTACCCACATCCAGGGTGTCGAACCGAAATTTTTATCGGTTCGGTTCCGGTTCGGGTTCACGGCATTCGGTTTGGTTCCGGTTCAATTCCGGGGAGCAAAAATACCGGTTCAAACCGGTTCGAACCGGTTTGAACCACTAAATTGAGAATATATTTTCCGCGTAAATAGTGTATATACTGGCAATATACACTACTTACGCCGTGAAGCGATTCACTATATAGTTTCTTCGATCGTCCATTCAATTTACTTTTGTTTTTAGGTACAAAAAATATTAATTTCAGTTATTTAATTTGCACGTAAGAGTAGAAGAAAATCTACATTGACATACATAACGTCGTGTTCATACATCCCTTTGTTTACGAGTAAAATATATTTTACCTGAATCGAAACGTTTAAGTACAAGAGAAAAAAGTTGAGCTTGTTGGTACATACCTGTAAATAGATCAGCTTCGAATTTAGAACTATACGGTTTTTTCTTGTCATTTCTTCGTGTTTAAGTAAAATTCTAAAGTTCAAGCTGATCTATTTACACTGTATAAAATGTGGTCGCGAAGTAAGGTAGGTCGTTTGAAATACCCGTGATTGGTACAACTTCGTGTCGCAGTATTAAAAGTAAAACCGTGTCCTTGAACTAAGGAATCAATTACATCACATAAAATTATGAAATGAGCACCTCGTTGCCATATATATAAAAAATAAGGTTTACGATATACACTTCACAATATATATGTATTTGATGACGACCCTACTGAGCTAAAAGCAATGAAATTTTCAAAATGTAACAAACGTTTTAAGATAATTTCTTTCCGTCTACTTTTTATAGAAACACCGAGCGGCAATCCAAATACCTGTTGTTCTAACCAAACATTGTTTAGACTCAGCACCGCATGCATGGGACTAATCATGCAGCAAGATGTAATCGCAATTGTTCACACTAATCTATACGCACCTTCGAACTCAGATCAAAGCTGGCCCAAAATAGCGCTTGCCCCTAGTGAACATTTCCTTATACAGAATAGCTGGCATAGCCTGCCTGTTGAGGCTTAAGGCTCAACAGGCAGGCCAGCATGTTGTCAATAACAGTTGTTCTTGACAAGATGCCGGACAATTTAATTTGCAAATGAGCATCACCCTTGGTAATTGATGATTTTTACACGATAGCGTTAAGGAGCTCATGTCGCAGGAAATCCGATGCCGGTGGCGTGACTAGAAAAGCTATATTGATCGATAGGTTCATGACGTCAGAGCTACATATCCTCGAGCAAGATTTTCAAACAACCCACAATGCTTACGTGAAACGTGACATCACGCGTGGAATGAGTGACTAAAACATGGCATGTAATGTGAATTAAAGGTCGCCGTATGTTTCAAATGATTTTACTTTTGAAAATAATTCCTTTGCCTTAAAGAAAAAGAGAATAAGAATTTTACGCGGGATTCGAACCCACGACTCTTTAGTCGCGAGTCAGACGCCACGCGAGGCACGCTTGCGGGGCAAATGAGTATGCGATGCAGACGAGACCCGTTGACGCTATCGCGTTCCACTTTTAAAGACGAAGCTTAAGCGTCCTTTAAGATTCTTTTTTTATAAGTAAAACTAAGTAGTATATCCCGTTCTACTCGACATGGCAGCTACTTAATTGGACGCTTTCTGACGGTTTGCGTGCTTTATCGTCATAGTTCCGACGCGCGCCCGTGTTTACTTTGTTTTTGTCCAGCCCACAGACCCATAAAAGTAATGTTCACCACATAAAAGAGGCAATAACAGACTTCTATATGTTTGAGAAGTTAGATGTGTGAGGAACACATAGTTATTTAAATTAGCTTCAAAATCAGAAATGTATGTAAGGCCGCCCCATATCACTTACAACGTGCCTGTCGAGGATAAAAACGCCGGAAAGGATTGGCGGAACACCTTTCAAATAATTTGGGGGACATTGCTTTAGAGTGGTTGGCCCTCTGCTTATGTTGTCAAATATTCAGTTAGTAATTAAATATATTTTATATTGATCAATAAATTTTACTTTATAAAGTTCTCATAACCGTTTGAGACCGACGCTGAAGGACGATACTCGAAACTACGCGAGCTGTGGAGTCTGCTTAAAGTGTTTTTCTGCTTGGCTGATTGGCAGTTGTGAAACATCGGATTGCAGGGTTCGCTAAAAAGGACTCTAATGAATTGGAAGTCACATACACGAAATGCTCAAAAAGAGAGAGATAATTAATGTTATTTTTTTCCAAATAATTCCTTGCAGAACGCCTCACTGCAAAAAGAGATGCGTAAAGATGCGCGCCATGCCATTCAGGATTTTGCATAAATATCGCGAAGGACAGACAAAGATTCTTAAAATCTTTGTATAAATCACATTTAATCAGCTTGCATGAGCTCGAAACTTCGCGAAATACTGCCTCGGGAGGCTAATGTTATATTCGGTTTTACCTGCACTTGTTTTGGGCCCTCACTTTACAACACTATGCTACAGTAGTCATGCGCTCTAACATTTCTCTAAGCTGCCGTATATCATCGCGAACTGCTATAAATACTGCACAACTTTACAATTAGGACCTTTATTGCTAGTGTTGCGAGCATCACATTTCAACAGAAAGCTGAACTATTTAGCATGGTATGCACGTGACGTCATCACAGTATAGTCTAGTGGTCATTGCGATTTCTTCTTGCTGAGAAAATCGAATTCGACGGTCCAAAAGGCACGATGCAGGAGGTTCAAGCTCAGTGAAAGCCAAGGATCTGAAAGGCACGTATTATTATTCGTAGTGCATCGTCGTGAGAAACGGCGCGAGCGTCCGGCACGACAAAAACGTGCTTTTTGGCAAGAGCGCTTTTGCAAACAAAGTAGTTTCCGGGGTCACGCTTTTTGGTCTGCGCCAAAGAAGCAGGGAAGAGGAACCTTTACAACACAGTATGCTTTTAAAACTCCCCCCCCCCCCCCCCCCACACACACACACATACACACAGACGCACTTCTTTATACAGCGGTGCTGTTAAGGGCTAGTTTCCCAGTGTCGTGTCCGTCAACGAACAAATGATGACACTAAACTCCGTCATCTATGAATGACGACGACAAACACAACCGGCTTGCCGGTTGTCTGGTTTCCGCCGTCGTTCGTAGAGGGTGGCAACGCTTCCAGCCTTTCCACTCTGGCTTACCGACTTTCGGCCGGCCATTACTTCATTCCGACCATAGTACAGCTTTATTGGTCGTCAACAGAGTGGAAAGACTGAAAGTATTCCTGAGGAATTACCTCCTTCGTTTGTGGCTGTTAATTTGGCAATTTTATTTGACGCTTGTTAACCGCAACCCTTCATTGCTTTTATTTTGCACCCTGTGAAGTTCCAATTGGTCATGAAACGATATCGAATTGGAATGTTCATGACCTTTCCGAGGCGTACTGGTCCTCTGGCCCAAGTGTACTCGCACAGGCCGCCACTGATTCAGAAGCTTCTTCGTCGTGGTGAAATTGCGAAGATTAAACCGGATTATTTCTTTTAGTCTTGCTGTCCCAAAGATTGATGACGTAATTGTGGGATTGAAACCACCCGCCTGTCGACAGTCGAGCGCGGCTCATGGATTGGACACGAGAACTGCGTCAGCACTTGACATCGGCTCGTAACAATCAATGCCTCGGTGGACACTAGGGCAGTGGCTCGTGTAACAACCACTGCGGTCATGAGAATAGCCCAACTCTAACCACGGCGGGACTGGAAGCGCGCGCTCTCTTTCTCTTCTTATGGCCTTTGCAATTGGGGCAATCGCCACCTCCCGCCGCAATTCGCGGGGGGCGCTGTTACCTCACCCCTGGCCTACACTTTGTCGTTTGCACAGAGCGCGTCTGACATGCAGTGTACTTTCAATAAATAGTGTTAAGAAATAACCCCTGACGTTGATAGCTTCCGGA